GCTCTTGCTGTAGGTATCAGGATATCACATATTGAGCTATCGTTTGCAGTATAAGGATGAAAATTTATCGAGCTCTTGCTGTAGGTATCAGGATGATATCAAATATCGAGCTGTTGTGAGTATAAGGATAGATTAGCACCTCATATCGAGATGTAGTGCAATGTTTCAGTACAGAAACCCATCTGATTTGAGATGTTACTAGACGGCAAATAACTCATATAGATTTCTAGTTGAACTCGTCAGGACGATAACCCATATAGAGCTTTAGTGAGATGAAAAATCTTAGCATTATATATCACATATTGATTTAGTTGGATTGCAATAACCCATTTGAGCTCCTGTGTTGTGTCAGATGAAAACTCACATTGATCTTTTGTGTTATATAAGGACGAGGAAAATGCATATAGAATTCTTGTGCAATGTATCTGGAGAATAACTCCTTTGAGCTCTTCTGAAAAAACCTGGACGTTAAATAATCCACAGTTTCCTTGTGTGAGATGCAACAGGTTAAATGTAAAACTCATTTCAATCTCCTAAGCAAGAATTACCCAAATTTGAGTAGGTGTGAATGAGAACATTTTGCGCTCTTCTACATTTCAAGATAATCCACAACAAGCTCCTGTGAGAATTATGAGAATGAAAACTCTTTTCGAGCACTTGGGTCAAATATCAGGGTAAGAAGTTTTATTGAACTCACATTAAATTTCAAAGAAGACCAATATTGGTCTCCTGTGAAAACTCCCGCATCATGATTAATCTATATTGACTTGAGAACCTGTTTCGTTGCATTTTTGTATTAGTTGGTTTTACCAAATATTTCTTTGAACTGGCGATCGTGTTTGGAACACTGAGAACCGACGAATCCATAGCCGGTTAGGTAAGCAATTAATTGAATTTTTTTCTTTGAATCGTTTATTATTTTTTAAACTTTTATTGTTATTTACGTTTTTAATTAAAAAGACTGTTGTAATGATTTTATTAGCCAGATTGAACCAAATGACCCGTCGGTACCTGTTACTTGTTGTTATTTAAGGACAATCATTGTAACTTTGTTGTGAACTGCAATAGTGAAGGATCGTAGCATTACCGACCTCTTTAATTTCACCCAAAATCCTTTGGGTGAGTTTTATATTCAGGTTGTAACTTATTCACGTCACAGCACTGCTCTCCTTTTAAAAAGGTATTTAATTAGTTCAGCGCAGGGTGAAACAGAAGACTGTCCCGAATGGATGGTAGCAACGTCGGGGCAAGATTGTGTTGTAGACAATCGGTGAAGTGTAATGGGATCTCTTTCACTCCTCCGCATTACAATATAACAATGGAGGAAGCCCGGGTCCATTTTTTAACGGGCAGCATCCATTTAATTAAACACAATTAACGCCTGGTAATTACTATTGCCGGTCGGACTATCTCAACAGCGCTACCGTCCATTGTTGGCGCTCTTCGCCTTCTCCTTTATACATCGGAGCCGCCTAAGAAACACGGTCGGGAACACGGCCCCAGTTGAGAATAACAAAAAACACTTTGTGGCCTTTTGTTGCCCTATAGAGGCGGCCTAATCGGTAATAAACCGTGCCAAATTGAGTTTGAAATAACATTTCGTCCAGTGTCTGTGGAGACCATCAAAACGGGGGATTGAGAATTCAACTAGTACTCTGTCTTCACACCACCTAACGTAACAATGTATTGCTCACTCGCCTCTTATTAAATACCGGCGTTATACGTCCTTACGGCTGAATAGCCTATTCAGCTTTATCGCTCCAACTCAAACCAACTCGATTTTCACCCTTCAACGTTCGAGAAAAGAAACATTTCATATAATGTACGTCTTGCACATGCAATACGTAAGAAATGCAACTGGGGAAGATTCTAGCATCCTCATCTGAATTGCTACTACAATCAGAACCACCATGTGCCATCGATCGCTCTTTTATTTCAACGTGGATTATTTCTTCAACCTTGTACATTCTTAAAAGGTCAATATGAGTTTTCATCATCCTATTACATCTTACAAGTGCTCATTGGCTCTTTATTCGTTCCACACGAGGTCAATATGGATTATTCAAGATTCTGGATTTTTCACACCATATCAACATTTGTTATTCGTCCTTTCCTTCACATCTTACAAGAGCTCTGTACAAGTTTTTATAAGTTGCACTAGAGTGCATAAGAGAGTTACTTGTAGTTAGTACTTACAGTTAATTAGAGTTACTTATCTATAGAGTATAAGATTTTTCACCCTGATGATGCTCACAGTAGGTCGGTTATCAACCTGCCATTTTGTACAAAATTTCAAAAATAGTTTTCATTCTTTTCACAGGATCTTAATTGGGTTAATTAATTACCGTGTTCCTCGGAAATGAGTTTTGTAGTATATGTGATTTTTCAACTTGATCTCGACGAGCTCAAAATGGGTTATCGTTCCGATACTTTGGACTGGAGCTCGATATGTTTCTCTTTACTCTGTTTACATCTCACCTAAGGAAAAAATGTATTATTCATATTCCTGGAACTTTTCAGAAGAGTTCAGTATAGGTTATTACCCTGATACTTTCCACAATAGTTCAATATGTGTTTTCGTCTTACTATTTCTCACAAAAGTTCAATGTCTTTTTCATGCTGACTCATCTCAGAGGGGCCCCAATATGCTTCATCCAACAATACGCTTGGGGGGTCATCATTCTGACACTAAACTAAACAGCGCTATACTTTCTACGGCTTAAGTGTTGCCAACCTGAAATTTCTCAGAGTTCTGTATGTGATGTCATCCTGATACTGCTTCCTGCTACACCTCGAATGAGCTCCACATGATTTTTTGAAATATTGCATTAAACCTCGATATGAGATGTTAATCCATGTCGATATTTCTCAGAGAAGCTTAATTTGTGATACCCTGATAACGCAAAAACCGGATAAGGTTTCAGCCTTATATTTTTCACTAGAGCTCAATGTAGGTTTGCACCCTGATAAGTGCAACTAGGTGCATCCTGGTACCTACAGCACGAGCTCGATATGTTTTCAACCTTATACTGCCCACAATAGCTCGATATGTGATATCCTGATAACTATAACAAGGGCTCGATAGTTTTTCATCCTAATCTTTCTCCCTAGAGCTCTGCGTAGGTTATCGTACTGACAAATTTTACAAAAAATCTACATGGGTTATTTGCCATCCAGTTTCATGTCATATCAGATGGTTTTTCTGTACTGAAACATTGCACTAGATCTCGATATGAGGGATCAATCTATCCTTACTCACAAGAGCTCAATATGTGATATCATCGTGATAACTACAGCAAGGGCTCGATAAGTTTTCGTCCTTTTACTGCTCACAATAGCTCAAATGTGATATCCTGACACCTACAGCAAGTGCTTGTTAAGTTTTCATCCTTTTATTGCTCACAATGGCTCAATATGTGATATCCTGACACCTACAGCAAGAGCTTGTTAAGTTTTCATCCTTATACTGCTCACAATAGCTCAATATGTGATATCCTGATATGTACAGCAAGAATTTGTTATTTTTTCATCCTTATACTGCTCACAACAGCTCGATATGTGATATCATCCTGATAACTATAGCAAGGGCTCGATAGTCTAATATTTCACCCTAGAGCTCTGCGTAGGTTATCCTACTGACAAATTCAACAAAAAATCTACATGGGTTATTTGCCATCCAGTTTCATGTCATATCAGATGGTTTTTCTATACTGAAACATTGCACTAGATCAGTCACAATAGCTCAATATGTGATATCCTAACACCTACAGCATGAGCTCGACGTGTGCACTACTACTCGGTGTGAGATGTTAATCCATCCTGATCCTTCTCAGAGGAGCTCAATATGAATTATCGTTCAGAAATTTATAAGATGTCCAAATTTTGTTCGTACTGAAACTTTGCCCTATTTTTCAATGTGAGTTGTTAATCCATCCTGTTACATCTCAAAGGAGCTCTTTAAGGGATTTTACCCTGATATTTAACTTTAACACAAGAGCTTGAAAAGAGTTAAGTTATATAAGTTGATAAGTTTTTCATTTTTACATGAAACAAGAGCTCAATATGATTTATTATTCTGATAGTTTGCATTAGAGCTCGATATGGTTTTTCATCCGTTTAAATCTCACAGGAGCTCAATACGGGTTATCTTCCTGATGCTTTATCGGTCATCCTGCTTTATTTTCTATGAGATCAATAGTCTAATCCACATGATAATTTCCATCATAGTTGACACGAATTATTTTATCCTGTTACATACTGCATGGATTAACTATGGAATATTCGTCTTCCTGGTACCTCTCACAGCGGTCAATATGGATATGATTTTTGAACCTGATACTTTGCTGTAGAGTCGTCATTACAGATTAAACAAATTAATTAAATATGGATTATATTCTTCTTATCTTATCTAGCTTAAGATAAGATCCTCTTTATAAATCCCGGATGAGGTCAATATGATTATTCATCATCCTGATCCTTTTCACATGAGCCCTTAATTTTCGTCCTGAAACTTTTTACAAAAGCTCGCTATGAGCTGTTATCCTGTTACATATTACAGAATCGCAATATGTGACATCTTCATGAAACTATCAATAAAAGATTGTTTGCTCTCTCAATTATGAGGTATTTTTTCATCCTGTTCCATATCACAGAAGCTCAATGTGAAGTGTCGTCCTGAAACTTTGTACAAGAGCCCGATACGAGTTACCATCCTGTTCCAGCTTACATAAGCTCAATATGAGTTATTGTTCTGAAATTTTGCACAAAATTACGATATGATTTATTTTTTATCCTTTTCTATCTCACAGGAGCCCAATTATAAGCATTATCAGCAATTTCCACGGGTAAATAATTAAGAAAAAATAGTTAATTCATTAATAAATATAAATTTATATTTTTCATACCTACATTTTAATCTTATTGTAAATAAAATATTCTCATAATTAAAAAAATAGTATATACACTTTTTATATACATACATATTGTTTTACAAATTAAAATATTTATCATTTTACGTGTTAGTTAATCTGAGAAATTAATTTTCAATATATAAATTTATATAAATAACATACGACTAAGCAGGAAAGTTGGGCTATTTTTTTGTAAAAATTTGTGTAGGGCCGAATTATATATAAAATACGCTTATCCAGCGATTTTTAGGCTAAATTTAGGAGTACATTTATTTTTCCGACTTCCAAAGGACAAATAATATAAAATCAAATATACCAATTTTTTTTGGACCAGAAGCCCAATTAGCACAATGAAACATAATTTAATGCTGAGAATATAATTTTTTTTAATGTCTGAAATATTAAATAGTTATCTCCTTCTATCTCCGAAATATAAGCCAGTTTTATACGTAAAATTTTTCTTAAAAGATATTTCCTTATTTTATTAACTAGCCCTTAATTTTTTCCATTATACACTTATTTTTCTATTTACCCTACAATTATATATGTAACCTTGTTTGAATTTGAATAAGTGTTTTTTAAATTAATTTTACGGTCTGTCTGGTTTGAACTGTTGATGTAACGTATGTCTGCACACACGGTTTGAATGTATTCTATTCCTACGAACCTAACTTAATAAAATTGGGATTGTTAATATTCATTTGACAACCCCCCTTGGTCTTTTTGTGCGAATTTAGCACGTTTTCCTTTCCTGTGATGCGACGAATGAGATACATTCACGTCTTCCTCTTTTTCGAAGGCATCCCCGAATCGAATTCCGACGTTATGAGCCTCTTGGTCCTAGACGCCTGAGCCTCCAGGCCCAGTGAGTCCTTCTTCACCTTCCTTTTGGACCTGGAACAGAAAAAAGGTACGCATCTTAAAGGAGCCGCACGATGGGTGGTTTAAAAAATATATATATAAAATAAGCGAAACTGCGGTTAACATCAATAATCCAGGGCGCCCCAGGAAGTCAAACAAAGCCGGACAACAGATGACGGAAAAGACGATTAATCACGGGATCCTTAATAGTCTTTCCCACACCATGTGAAATGTTAATATTTAGTTTTCTACTTAACGCTATTCTGATTTATCCCTCCAATGGGAACAAAAGAAAAAGATTTTTTATATAGAACAGATCAACAAAGCCGCAGCTTTACGTCATTTTTAAGAATCCTACACAGTACATACTAATTTGTATAGAATGAAACCTACACCAGCTAAGCTTTTCATAAAATAATTTTAATGTTTTTAGTGATAAATGCAATAAAAATGGAACTCGGCAAGTCGGATCGGCAGAAAAGTTACGTTTCAAGACTTCAGTCCTCCGATGATTTGAATCGTAGAAGAGGGAACATCCTCGCTCCAAGAACATACCATTAGAAGTATGGTGGTCAGGTGATGCAATTCAGCTCTAGTATAAGAACCACAAAAAGCCAACAAATCGACGGGATATAGTGTCTTATTATCATTATTATTCATACAGAAGTTTTATCAAATTAATTTATCTCGAATACAACTAAGACATCTCGTTTTGTGCTTCTGCTTTCTGTATAATGAGATTAAATATATTTATTAGCAAGAAGGTGAATGTGAGAGTGTGTTAAGCATTGGTCAGTCCACAATCCACGGTTAGGTCACTTTAGATGACGAAATGCCAAAATGTTGGTCAGACGAAAACAGCTATGGGAGTAAGACCAAAATTACCAGGAACGACCAACCTACTGGTTATATAAATAATAGACGGGTTGACTAGAATTATACATTGTTTGGTAGTTAATAGATCAAGATGTTGGATTATTGCAGCGGTGACTGAAGATGACAAAAAGCGGATAAACGTCTGGCAGCACAAAACAGCTAAGGGAGTACGACCAAAATGACCAGGAACGACCAAACTACAAGTTGTGTAAATAGTTGGAAGGTTAATTTTTTTTCCGAGGGTTCGCAAGAGCAGAGGTTATAATCAACTCTCGGGGTGCCGTCTTTTTGAAAAAAAAGCCCATTTGTAAGTATGTCGATTCGAACCCGGGACCTTTACTTACAGTGATGAGCGCCGTGCCAACGCCTAAACCGTTGCGGCCACCGACGCCCCTTGGAAGGTTAACTAAAAGTATAGAATGTTTGATGGTCAATAGATTGGTAATTGGATTGTTGCAGCTGTGACTGAAGATGACAAAGAGCGGATAAACGTCTGGCAGCACAAAACAGCTAAGAGAGTAAGACCAAAATGACCAGGAACGACCAACCTACTGGTTATATAAATAATAGACGGGTTGACTAGAATTATACATTGTTTGGTGGTTAATAGATGAAGATGTTGGATTATTGCAGCGGTGACTGAAGATGACAAAGAGCGGATAAACATCTGGCAGCCCAAAACAGCTAAGGGAAGACCAAAATGACCAGGAACGACCAAACTACAAGTTGTGTAAATAGTTGGAAGGTTAATTTTTTTTCCGTGGGTTCGAAAGAGCAGAGGATATGTCAACTCTCGGGGTGCCGGTCTTTTTGAAAAAAAGCCCATTTGTAAGTATGTCGATTCGAACCCGGGACCTTTACTTACAGTGATGAGCGCCGTGTCAACGCCTAAACCGTTGTGACCACCGACGCCCCTTGAAAGGTTAACTAAAAGTATAGAATGTTGGATGGTCAATAGATTGGTAATTGGATTGTTGCAGCTGTGACTGAAGATGACAAAGAGCGGATAAACGTCTGTCAGCACAAAACAGCTAAGTGAGTACGACCAAAATGACCAGGAACGACCAAACTACAAGTTGTGTAAATAGTTGGAAGGTTAATTTTTTTCCCGAGGGTTCCCAAGAGAAGAGTTTATATCATCTCTCGGGGTGCCGGTCTTTTTGAAATAAAGCCCATTTGTAAGTATGTCGTGCTCGAATGCAGGCCCGCTGGATTGGAACTCGGGACCTTTACCTTACAGTGATGAGCGCCGGGTCAACGCCTAAACCGTTGCGGCCACCGACGCCCCTTGGAAGGTTAATTAAAAGTATAGAATGTTTGATGGTCAATAGATTGGTTATTGGATTGTTGGTGTGACTGAAGATGGCTAGAAGCCGAAACATCAATGAGGGGAAGAACAAAATGAGCACCAACGGCCAAAAAATTTATGTAAATTGTAAGTAAAAGGTCTACATAGAAGTACAGATTGATGATCAATCGATTGTATTTTGAGATAAACCGAAAATCATCTGGCAGAACAAAACATCTAGGGGAGAAAGGCCAAACTAATCGTACATAACCAAAACTACAAATTATGCAAACAGTTGGACGGATAGATTATAAGTGTAAGTTACTTGTTTGAATTTGAAACTGAATAGGACAAGAAGCCAAAACGCGACTGTCAGACCAACTAAGATAGAACGCAATATTCACAAATGACCAAAAAAGTTAAGTAAATGATTAAAGGATTGAATAGAAAAATTGATAAGCAGATTAAAATGACCAGGGACGACTAAACTACCAGTTATCTAACTGGTTGGATGGTTGATTACAAGTATAGATTTGACAGTAAATTTATTGTAATTTGTATGGTTTATTTTGTTATTAAAGATGAGAAGCTGAAACGAGATTCGCGGGACAAAAGAGCGAGGGTAGGATGACAAAATGATTCAAAACAGCCAAGTCCTATAAAAAGAAACAAGGTCGATTAGATGTACTGATTATTCGATGACCGAAAGATCTAATATTGAATTGTTGGATCTGAGACTGTATTTTGCAATAAGCCGAAAAACGTCTTGAAGACCAAACAGCTAGCGCAGGAAGACCAAAATGATTGGATATGCCCAAAACGACAAGTTATGTAAATGGTAGGAGGGATGAACAAATGGAAATATTGTGTGATGGTTGATCAATGAAAATTACAAATGTTGGATCGGTGACTAAAGATGCCGAGAAGACGAAATGCGTCTGCTAAACCAAAACAGCGAGGATAGGCAAACCAAAATGGCCAGGACCCAACTACAAGTTTTATAACTGGACGGAGGGTTGATTAGAAATATACATTGATTGATGGTAAAACCATTAGTGTAATTGGTATGGTTTAATTTGTGGCTGAATATGGTGAAAAGATAAAACGAGTTTCACAGGTCAAAAGAGAGTAAGAAGATAAAAAAGAACCAGAAACAGCCCAACAATAAGTTCTGTAAATGGGAGGATTGGATAAATATTCTGACTTGATGGTCAATAGAGTGACAGAACATAGCGAGAATCCAAACACATCTTATAAATCAAAACAGGAAGGGTAAGAAGACATAAATTAACCAGAAACACTAAACAATAAGTTCTATAAACGTAAGAAGGTTGATTGTATCTACAGATTATTTGGTGGCCAACAGACTGGACATTGAATTGTTAGATCTGTCACTGAAGATGGCATAAGCCAAAAACTGTCTGGCAGACAATAACAGCAAAGGTAGGAAGACCAAAATGATCCAAACCAAGCAAGCAATAAGTCCTATGAAAGATAAGAAGGTAGATTAGATGTACAGATTGTTTGATGGCCATCAGATTGGACATCGAATTGTTGGATCTGTGACTGAAGATGACGATAAGCCAACAACTGTCTGGCAGGCAATAACAGCTAAGGTAGGAAGACCAAAATGATCCAAACCAAGCAAGCAATAAGTCCTATGAAAGATAAGAAGGTAGATTAGATGTACAGATTGTTTGATATCTCCTCCAAGCGCGAGCCCCCTAAATGAATACTTAAAAAATGCCGAATCGAGCGTGACGGATTTGGACCGCAGGAAAACACATCGGGTTGAACAATGGTCTTGATTAGATGTGTGATAGCTAATCGAAGTGGAATCAAGAAGCCGGTGGATGGAAGATAGAACGTAATTTATCAAAGAGAAGACACTAATTCAAGTTTTTACAGGTATGGCCGGGAGGTAACGGCTCATCACCGGATTAGAAGCAATTCCGTCCGCTATTGTGTGTGAAAAGGGGTCCTCTAAAGAAATGTTTAAGCAAAGAATACTGGTTATACCCCGGGGTATTGAAGTATTTTTTTTTATCCTCCTTGGCCGAGGCGCCTCGGGATCGCCTTCACGATTATCCCTTATCAAAAGGTTTTCAAAACACAAATTGCCTTTTTATACCAATCAAATTATAATTTTTTCTCCCTTTATCGGGCCCGGTGTTGGTCCTAGGGGAAAAAATTACAAGGAATTGTTGTTACGGTTTTACCGGTTAGCGCATAAAACGCTGTGTCGAAACGTTAAATTTCCTATCCGTGTTAGCGATCTGGTCATTTACAACTGTACACCTCTAAGCTAAGGCGTACCCTTTGACAATGTACACGACCGCAAAGTACAGTGTCAAAATAGCTGGTGTACCTTATGCCAAATCATAACCAATCGGTTGTTCTCTAGCCATCTGAAAAACTCTACAAAACAAGACGTATGCAATAGCAAAGAGCGGCTCTGACTCGAGGAATCTGGCAGACCAAAAACGCAAGGGCAGGAAGACCAAAATGGTCAAAAACAACCAAAAACGAATTACGTAAATATTGGGTTGTCCGGAAAATAATGCAGGATTTTAAGTTTTCATTAAAAAAAATCTATATAAAATATTCTGTTTACGTTTACAGGATTACTCATTTGTATGAATGTCAACACTTATTAATCCTCTTCCAAATGATATTGTTTGTTTACCTCTGTAGCATTCCGCTACTTGGAAATAATTCAGTCATCCTTATAATGTCAAAGCGAGAATTTCGTACGATTTTCTTTTACGAGTTTAAACTCGGCCGAAGCGGAGCCCAAACGGCTAGAAACATTAACCAAGTCTGGGGCGAGGGTTGTGTTAATGAGTGCACTGTGCAAAGGTGGTTTAAA